CCTGCACCTGGACCTGCACCTGGACCTGCACCTGGACCTGCACCTGGCATTCTGTGTCTGTTTCTACTTCCTGTTCCTCTCAAACGCAGCTGGTTGAAGCAGATGGCCGCTCGTTCTGAACCTGGTTCTGATGGAGGTTTCTTCCTGTTAAAAGGGAGTTTTTCCTTTCCACTGTCTCCTTTGTGCTTCCTCAGATGGAGAACTTTACTAATTGGTTTTTTTTATGTATATGAATGTTTCTGTTCAGTGTCCTGAGACGAATTCTGTTGTGACCTGGAGCTTTATAAATAAACTGAATTGAATGCTCCGAGCTCTCAGTGCATTGTGGGTAATTCAACACAAAGCCCGAGTCAGAAAAGAGTCATTGCTGATTCTGCCGCTTCCTGTTTGAACTCTCTGTGGTGAACAGGTTAGATTTAAAAAAAAGGTGTGATTGGAACAAGAAAGCTACAGAACTTTGCTTCCTCGTGTTAAAAAATAAAATAATAAAGTTCAACAACCCGTCGTAGATTACTCCGACCAACCACGGGAGCCGTTTTACATTTTTATGACCCCCGTAAAACCCGATGGAGCTGGTCACGATTCAAAGGTTGTTCACGAGAAGCAAACTGGCCCACATCCATTTTTTAAACCAGCTGATTAAAAAAGTCTTTAATTATCTCAAGAACAAGCGAAGACGATTTAATTTCTCAGAAATTAATCGCTGGCCCCAGTCAAGATGGCCGCCACAGCTAAGCAACCTCAGCCAACACACAAACGACTACAAGTCACCGAGCTTCACTCGAGCTAAAGTTTGAGATCTTCAGCTTCAACTGTTGGAGTCGTCTGTTAGCAAAACATCCCATAAACCACTGGACGGATGCCAATCAAATTTGGTGTGGTAGTAGCTGAGAGTCTTCCAAACAGCTGGAGTAAAATGCTTTAGATTAAATAAATATGTGGAGGAGAAAGTGTTTGATCTGTGAGAGGAGGAGGAGGAGTCATTCCGAGCAGATTCTTCAACAGTGACCTCAGTCCTTGGACGTTCATCCTGGCGTCGTGTCCCAGAGGACGTCTCCGAACGCCAAGTCGCATCAGTAAACCAGGCCGGCGGAGGGCCTCGCCTCTCTCCACCTTCGACCTGCGGTTCAGCAGCTACAGATGGTTCTGCTGGCCTGGCCCGCGGGCCTTTCCGAGCTGAAAGTGTGCGAGAAGAAGCGAGTCGATCTCCTTCCTGAGAGGAAACCGCCGCCAGACTTAGGCCTGCTGTCGCTCTGGTTCACCGCAGAGCTCAAACAGGAAGCTGCAGAATCGACAACGACCGTTTTCTTACTCGGGTTTTGTGTTGAATTTACCCACAATGCACTGCGGCGTAGTCCTGTATGTGTGAGCTGATGCACAAACACCAACAAAACAACCATTTATGCAAAAACTGGACTATTTTGGTGGATTTTCTTTTTGAAAATGGTCCTTTGTGCATCAGTTCTACAAAAGATGGAGGTGAGTGAGACGCCTGGTCACATGACGGCGGCCATAACCAGAGAGGGCGAGCAGCTGGACTTCGATATTGGCAAAACAGCCAACAGTAGTGGCTGACTGTGTAAAAATAATATAATATTAGAATGTATATAAACCATCTAATGCGTGTAAAAATGCCACAAAGCTGTGCACCATAGAGAAAAAGTAGAACGTGTCTCATTTCACGTCAGAAGATTTAACTTATTTATGAATCTGAGCCGACCATAACTGAAGCTAATAATGTGATTAAAATTTAAATTAGCCCATAAGGCCGATGTAGTCGCTGATAATTATTGAACTGGCTCAAAGACTTCATCTTCTGTGGATACTTTGCTGAACTAAAAAAAAACTGCATTTCCTGTGAAAATACAGTGTGAATATTTATTGCTGAAAACAGCTGAAATTAGCTAAAAACATGCTGAAATAGAAGAACACCCTAGTTAGCAGAGAAAATAAATAATTTT